AAGAGTACACCTAAAATCAAACAGTAAAGGAGTGTCCAGGTTCACTTGAACGGGTGTGTTTTGACCCGACCGAACGAGAAACCGCCCCAGTACGTTGATCCCTGGTCACGCCCCGGACTGCCGGTCACCCTGCGTTCATGTCTCGTGGAAGTTTTTGCGTCAAATTCCTGGGCCACTCGGGGAGGCAAATCTTGTGCGCAATGTATGTTACGCTACGACGTTCATTGCGTAATGACGCCGCGTCTTGTATGTGTGTTCTGGATGATGAATGCGTGAGGTGAAGGAGGCACGGGGGGGGGTGATGTGCTTCTAAGACGATGCCACAAGCACAGGGAGGTTGGACGGGCAGGGGGGGTGGGGTTGCACCGGGGTTGCACATGGTGGAAGACTGGCGTTTGACGAGACTAAGGTCATTACATGCCTGACAGAAAAGCATGTGGCGAGGTTTTCCGAAACTTCCAGACGGACCGGTCGATGATTCCTTTCCACATGACCATCGGTGTTTTACGAAACAACGCCCTGGTGCTGTGCCACCTGCAAGGTGAAATATACATGTAGTGTACTTCACAAATATATGGCGGTATCTACATGACAAATCTCTCTATATATAATTATATATAGATGTATTAGATTGTATTAGCATGTATTGGCTATAAGTATCTATAAGTTATCCAGTCATATGTTGTAATGTGATATGACACGTTCCATGTCGTTCTTCTGCTGCCTGTGCTTCCACCACTCCGCCAAGCACTCTGCATGCACCCAGCGCATGGAACCCTCACAGGCACAAGGCTGGATCAAATCACCTCCCTCTTCCAGGCAAATCCTTGGATGTGCTTCGAAATCGGAAGCCTGGAAAGAGAAAAAGACACACATATTATTCCCCAGGTGTTTGGGGGATTAGAACCATATAAACAAATAAAGAAATCACCCGGATCAGTCAGCCAAACCAGGACTCCGGCATTGCCCAAGTTCCATGGCGGCTCGACCCGGGCCCGGCCCGGTTTCATCGGAGATCTGTTGAGCACTCGTATCGGCGTAGGGCGTCAAGGGTTGGGAGGATCTGTTGGGAGGCTCAGTCAAGGGCTTTTCCTCTGAAATCGTTTTAGAAAGGTTTCTTGGAAGCGTCCCAACCGGAAACAAAGTCTGGTTGGGACGTTTATCTCTGACTTTCTTGAGATCCTTTTCATAGGAAGTGGATTTGTCAGTGGCTCAAAAACTGGGGAGTTCCATCAGTACTTGTTTCTGCTTACAAACTGGGTGACCACCCAACTGACCAGCTCTTGGATCGATCAGTTTTCCGTCACAACGTCACTCGACTGGGCCGAGGAAACGATCGGGCGGGCGACGCGGGCGACGCGGGACGCGGGCGTTTCGTTGGACGATGCCTTTGGCGATGTGTCGGGGAGGCGATGTTCGGGCGATGACCGCATCATAGGGCCCTGCCAAGAGAGGTTAAGTGACCTTATAGAACCCTACTGGCGAGTACCTATGGGATAGTCTATAGGGTCCTTCAACCTCTGTTGGTGACTAAGAAGGTCCCTGGCTACTTGACTACTGTCCTCACGTCTCGCGTCTGAACCAGACAGAGTCTTCGCCCAGTTCCGCACCTGAGCATCCTTCAAGTGCCGCCAATCCACCTGCGCGATGCTTTCAGCGCGTCACGGTGGCGGAGCATCGATGAGAGGCGCCGCATGGCGCCGCCCCTGCAGGTGCAAGTACCCCTCTGTATAATCAGGTATAACTATATAGGCCACGTCGAAGAGCGTCCCAACTTCGTCATTCCAAGAAGCTTGCGATCCCTGTCAACATAGCAAGATTTCGACCCCAGACCAAACCAATGGGGCTGCAAGAGTGACTTACATTGGTTCAGAAGTGACTTACCTCCCAAGTCCGACGAGTCGGCGGTGTGAGGACGAGGGGGGACGGGGCAGGTGGTCCCGGGACGGGTGTCCATCCGCGTGGGCATCTGGGCATCTGTTCCAGTTGGCCAAAGACCTGGTTAGGGTTGATCTTGAGGATCCCAACCACATACATCGGTGCCAAAAACCCGGAACCTGTGGCTCACAACTTCTGCTAGGTTTGAGGGATGATGTTCGGCAGAACTTCTGCAGGACCATCCACAGCTCCAGTCTATGCTCGCTTCCCAGCCCGCCGATCTGGGAGGCCGGTTCCGCGCCGTGGCCAAGGGCCCGCGCTCCGTTTCCGGCCCGGTGGTTTCCTGATTTCCGGTCGCGGTGCGGCCTTGTCAGGGAGCGCCAGCTTCAAGTTGCTATGATCTTCCTCCTGTTTTTCCAGGAGAGGACTTCCACGGCGTTGTGAAGAAAACAAACAGGATGGGAGTTCTTCGTGGCCCTGGTTTTTTGAGACTTCTCAGGGTAAACAATTGAGAGGTTCATGATGCATCCGCCGTCTGCTGAAGGATCATTTCTCCACTTTGTATGTGAGTGATGCACAAGTTCTTTGGCTGTTCGTACGCCGGTCAAGGGAACAAGCACCCAAAGCTCCTTCCGTGCCATTCTAAGTCCTGACACTCCAACCACCCCTGGCCTTTTCTCTGTAAACCTACCAATCCCATCTGTTTGGTGTCATTCTCAAGGAACCAGCAACAACCAATCCGATCCCTTTCATGGAGTAGAACAAGAACTCCCTTGATCCTCGTCCCACCCTTTTCCGCGCTTCGCGAACACATCCCGGCAGGTCACCGGTCACGGGTACGGCCCTGGTGGGCCACCCCAGTGGCGGGTACGGCCGGGCGACCGACCACGCCTTATCCAGCGTGGGTTTACTCGATGGTCATCCCGAAGCAGCTTGTTTTGTTTTACTATCTCACACACCCGTTTGGCCTCCAGTCGTACCGAACCTGAGAAGGTGGGACTGGGGTGGGTGCCAGGAGGGTCTAAATACCTTCTGAGGAGGTACTTGGAGGTGTAGGGACATACCAAAACCAGGGAATGGTCTTGGAAGTCGACTAGGAGACTGTAATATATCTGCCTATGTTGCTGTCGAAGCCAGAAAAGACAAAACACAAACATGTTGCTTTTCCAAGAAGGTGGCTTTATTATAACGTACTATATATAACATTATATAACAACTATATAGGGAAATCAACATTCTCCGATCCCGCTCAGGATGACTATGGAACCCAAAACCGGAAGAGGACATAAATCCAGGGCCCGCTGGGGGCGAGCAGGGCTGTGCAGCAGATGTTTCTTTTGGCCCTGCTCGGAGATCCTCACCCCCAAGCGAGCTGAAGCCATAGATGAAGAGATGAAGGAAGAAACATTGGTTAAAAACATCTTCCATCATGTTCCTCGAAAACAACCTATCAAGAATTGGTCGTTGCACGGGGGGATCCATCAGCACTACCCCTTGACCACTACCCCCAGTACAATCGACTGGGGCGTGGCGTGGCACAAGGCTGGACAACTGCACCCACCACTCGAGTCGGGGGCAAGTGGCAAGCTTGGGTTTGCTGTCCAGGAACATAGAAAAAAGTCTATAAAACATATTCACCAGGTCAGGGGATTTAAACATAACCCAAACACTCCATGGGTGCCATATATGCCGCCCCAGACAGACCCCCCTGGCACCACCCCTGGCCGTTTCTCGGCAGTCCTATGGCAGTCCCATGGAGCGTCTGGGATAAGAAAAATAAGAAATCACCTGATCCGCAAAACCCGGTATAAAGTAAGATGTGGCAGTGACTCCACGAGGAGACACGTGATAGATACTCCTAGATTCCACGAGTTGAGAACCCCACTGGTGAACTCCCATCTTCCCACCCTGCGCAAAAAGAACAAAGGTCCTTGGCTGCAAAGGACAAGCCCTTGCCACGTTCCTGGCAGGCTCAGGTGGATATCACTTGGTTAGAGGTCCACTAGAGGGATAGTTTTGCATACCCGGAGTCTCCAAAATATCCTATAGTTATAGAAAATTGAACATGACCCGTTAAACAATGTGTATATAATACCTAATATAAATTAATTGATTAAATAGTAAAGAAGCACTTGCACCCAGAGCTTCTGAGGTATTTGGAGGCTCTGAGTCATATAGAATACACTTCGCTCCCGCGAAAATCGGGATGGAAGTGGAGTTGTGTGGAGTTCACCCTGTTTGGTCTTCAGAAGATGGCCTCAAAGAGGGGGCTACCGCCTCAAGTTCACCGGTTCCAGGGAGTGGAGCACCCATGGCCTGATCCTATGGATGAAGGTCAACTAAGAAGGTCCAATTGGTGATTCGGCAAGAGAGGTGAGGTGCAGAATCATCGTTGGTTTGATCTTCCGGAAGAGATTCATATGGTTCTTGTGTCTGCGGTTGTTGATTGACATACTGATGGACGTTCATGTACTGATGGAATCCTAAACTCATCCGACATGTCTCTAGACAACCTTGCTTGTTGGATGGTTGGTAATTGGTACTCCAAAACAATGGTCACTCAGGTTCTAGGCAGATAGCATGCATTGTGAAGAACATGTGTAAGATCAAACAAAAACCCAGCTCGGCTAGAATCGGCCCCCCCATGGTGGGGGTCGCACCTTTTCCACCCGATGGGTCCAGCACCGAAGGGAACCCCCTTTCCCATTGAACGGCTCGGATTCTTCAGGAGGTTGCACAACAAGCGAGGACATGCACACTGCACGCTCGGAGAATGATGAGGCGCAAGCTTCAAACGAACAAGACCGGTCGGTGGGCGAGATCTTGGATCACGCTTTTCTCGCGGGATCCGGTGTCTCCGTGTGGACAACTTCAAGGCGAATGCAAGCGAGGTCACACTCTGAAGTCTTTGCTTTGAGCTTGTGCTCAACACGCTCTTGGAGCACATTGGAGAGCAAATCTGGGATCTCTCTTCGGTCTTGCCTGCTGTTTCCTTTTGCATCCTTTTGCCACAAATGAACTGAGGCTCGGCCCAGAGTTCCACAGCAACTTTTCCAAACCACATCGCCCCGACGTGTGTCGCTGCATTTCTCAGCTCGCTGCTTTCGTCAGCTTCTGTCCCTTCAAACCCCCCGGTCGTCCGCCTGCGAGGGCTTGTAGCCGTGCAGCGCCTCTCGCTCCTCGTCGCGGAAGTCGGCGAACTTGTTCACGGCGGCGCGCCAACGCGCGGCGGACCTGTTCAACGGCGGTGCTGGATGGTGCAGGTGGTCCGGAGGGGAGGGTGCGGATGGTCCTGGAGGCTTGGATCCGGTGGGCCCACGGGGATTCCCAGCGAACTAGAGTGGAAACTGGACACTGGAGCTTTTCTCGTGGGTTTGCAGCTTGGTGAAGGGCTGGCAGCAATGCTCTAGCCAGTCTAGAAGCAGCTGAAAGATCAAGGGGATCTTGCAAGCGAAAACTCACAAAGATACTCAGCAGGAGAATGGCAGGTGGTGCCTACCACAAAACTATAAGACTGATCACCGATCATCCAGAAAATCATCGGGGACCATCTAAAGCTGGAACTACAAAAATCCCACCCAAGAAGAATCCTCGAAAAAAAATAATAACAAGAAGAACACCACCCCCCAAGGCCACCGCGGCCTATTGTTCTGTTGGATCACCTCCGCTTTCCGCTGCTCAAAGAGGGCCTGTCGTTCCAAATACTCCTGCGCGAGACAGTGGTCAAGTCGCCACTCGCAGGGCTGACAAGACCCTCTCAGGGAGCGATCGTGAAGGAAGCATGTCACTGGCATTGACAACATCCTTTGCACTGTGGACTGTTTTCGTCCGGACTGCCAATCAGACCTAGACTTATCACCACCCAAAAGCCACCGCAGGTATTGTAAGGACCTTGGATCTCTTCCTCGCTCGGAGTTGGATCCCACTCGGCTCCTGGGAGTCATAGCTGCGCCCGTGGAGTTGCAGGAAGTCCTCGAAGGACAAGGACGAGCTGCCTGCGACGGCCCAGGACTAGAAGAGCGAACATGCAGGGGGAGGCAGGACCCAAGTACGTACCAGGAACCTCCCGTGCGTCCGGTGGCTTGGAAGGACCATCCCTTGATTTCACCTGCTTTACGAGGCTATACAGACACCTCAAAGGGAAGGTGCTGGTCGTTGGTTCGAAAACCTCTGCAGCGTCGTCCCTTGCAGCTTTGTCCCGGTCTTCAGTGTGGGCTCGTCCGGTGGATCCCAGGGTTTGCCCCCACTGAGCAGCTCTGTTCATGGGGTTCGGAGAGTGAAAAGCTCAGATGAATCTTCAGGGTGTTGGACATGTGCAGTGCAGGTGGGTCTGGCCATGCCGCTCAAGACCAGGAGAGTTTGGTTCAATAAAAATTAAGGAGAGAAAGAGCAACAGGGCCCAATGCATGCCGAATGCATGCCTGCGTGATGCTCCAACATGGGCACCCTCTGATGAAAGTTTACTGTTGACAGGCCAAACAACCACATTCCAAGTAATAGTGCCCTACTAGGTCACCAGGGTCATTTTCATGCGGCAAAAGCATTTATACAGATACATATATGATTTGCTTACTAGAAGGGAGTTTACCCATGGAAAACATCACTCACCTGAAGCACAACGGCCTTCCCTTCCCTTCCAAGACCGTTCCCCTCGCGTGAGGCCGCCTTCGCCACTGTGAACCTGCGCAGGTGCAAGGGGTGTGTCTGGAGGTCCCTTAGTGGTGTAGCGGACCAATGGAGCGGTCCCTTTGAAGGTGCTGGTACAATAAAGCTACAATACAGTTACAAGTTATATTACTAATATGTCTAACATGTTCAAAAAAATGGTAGTTTAGCATTTCGCATGCAGCACCTATAGAATTTGCACCAAACTAGGGTTTAACATGGTTTAACATGTGTCACCCGGTGTCGGGTGTCCGCCACGGCGAAGTTCCTTCGTCGATGCACCTTGTAACCAGTGGCGCCCAACAGCACCACGGCGGCCGCCTCAGGCGGTTTGGGCAAGCACCGCAGAGTGGAGGCCATGTGTCGTTTTGGGGGAGTCCGGTCGCTGTGGCCGGTGGTTTTCGCCACCGACTTCCAGGTCTGAGAGGTGATGCTTTTCGTGGGGGGGGGGTCTCGAGTTTGGAGCCCAAATCAATCTGCCAGGAAAGGATGGTGAAGGGGAAGATGTTCAAGAGAGGTTGAGAGACCAGAACTAGGACCCAGTATAGTGGTACAAGACTGGGAGCCATACCCAGACTGGATGATCCTGGTGGGTGACCCAAGTTTGGGAATTTCCTTGAGTTCGGTGCCAAACATAGTCGAACTGGACTTCTAGGTAGGGTTTGGGCTCCGGGAATTCTACCCCCAAGATGAAAAAGTTGCTGAATCTCTCAAAGTGCGAACTGCCACTACTTCGATATAGCTGTTATCCGGACATCCAACGGATCAGGTGAGTCACTACCAAGAGAACCAGAAACCTATGAAATTGTAGGGCCAAGGAAAAAAGCCGGGTTCTTGATTGAAGAACCGGGTTCTTCGATTCGGACCCGACTTTTGGTTTTGACATGTTTTCAATATTTTCACATGTTCATACAACCACATATATAGTGCCATGCACACATGATCTCAAACAAAAGTTCATCCCAAATCACCCACCGCAACCTCCAAACGTCACACCTTTTTGTACACGCGGGTTTTCGCTCTAACCCTTCAAGAATCCTGCGGCGCACCAATGCTTGAATCCCGCTTGAAGGGATCTTTCCAGCACTCGTTTGATTACCTGTTGTGGGGCAACTCTTCTGGCCAGTCGACTCTTCTTTCCGATGAAGTCTTCGCTGACTTGTACTGCGAATGTCAGCGGGTTCATGTGCCACTCGCCTGCTGTGGCACACTCAAGCCATATGTGGTGGCATATATGCGCCTTGGGCATGAAAGCCCACAATGCTTGCCCATTGTCGTAGGCGTGTCGAGCCAACTTGCCATACAACTCCATGAATCGGAGCCCTAGCTGTCCAATACGCCTTGCTTCATGGCCAGGAAGCCACAAGTCCTGAGTGTAGAGCGCTTCGAAAGCAGAATTCATGCAGGAAGTAGCTTCTGCACACATCAACAGCATAGGATCAGCTCGCAAATCGCTCCTGGCCAGCCACCAAGCGCAAAACTTCATTAGAAGAGTTGTTACGTGTCCTTTGCTCCACATCCCGTTGGGGTACTCGCTCCTGCTTCCCCATGAAATGGTATCTTTTGATACGCTGCAAATGTACGATGTTTCGTGCGCTTCATCGCAAAACTGTCGGAACAAATCACTAAGTTCATCGAATCTGTTGTCAATGTTGCTTGCACTCATGTGGTCTGATATGACGGCCAACAAAGAAGCGCAGTACGACTTCCCAAGCCCAAGATGATAGCCATGCCACAAGTCGAATGTGAAAAACGAAGCTGGCCTATCTGGCTCGTGAGGAATGTCCAACAAAATGGGCCTCTTCACGAATGGGCGGTCTGCAGGCTGAAACATAGTTCGCAACCACCCAGGGTTGGATGAAAAATCTTCAAACGGTATATCCAATTGCCCTGCCCTGCAGTAGTGGCATATTCCTCTCGGAACTGAACTTTGTCCTCGTGGTCTTTTCTCGACACTTGCGAAAGTTCGAGATAGATGGCCTGATTTCCCCAACCAGACCCAGTCTCCTGTGTTTTGTAAGACTGCCATGTGAAACCTCTGTCCGGTATTGCTTACAACACCCTGGCGCAGCATCGACGCCGAGTCATGAGCCAGACACGCCAAGATCTCGTCGAATGCTTTCTCGTCCTGGACAAGCTTCGGTAAAGCCGCTGAGATCATTCTGTGCACGTGGCTGCTTTCTGAGTAATTTAAACGCATCTGCAAAAAGGGTCGGTGTTTGCAGGCTGCGTTAGAAGCCAAAGTGCCGAATCCAATGCAGCTACTGTAAGCGCACACTAAGAAGGGGCCGCGCTTCCTTCCCCTTCCCTCATCCCCGTGAAGGATGATGGGAAGTGTATGGGAGAGGTCAATGCTGTGCTCAGAAACTTCATTCCAAATTTGGTGGTTTGGCTTCCAAATCTTAAATCTCCTCCAGAACTCCAAGAGTATCTTCCGTTCTCTTCTGGCATCTGGCTGATGGAGCCCAAGCATCACATGCCATACATTCGAGTTCACAAGAAACTCTGCCCATGAAGACAAGTGAATAACGTTGAAGTCTCCAAAATATCTGACTCCGGGCGTCTTTTGCAAAAAGGAAATCTTCACTGGAAGCATCAAGTGAAAGCGTCTCACAAGTGTGTTCATATCACGTTCACTGTGATGCTCAGAGCATTTGCTTAGCTCAATGATGCCCTTACCTTTTCTGGCGGCCTTCTCACCAATATCCTCTACCACACCTTTGGCAACTCTGATGGCAGCACGGCACGAAGTGGCCTCAGCGCGCGTTGATTTAAAGAAACGGAAGTCTCGGTCTGGGGTGTTCATGTGGAGAATCTGGAGACTCTGGGGACTGCTATATGCACACGCAGAAGTTGCAATGCACACATGCTCAGTGCAAGATGTCCCTCACACGCTCTTTCTAATTTCCCCGCGGTTGAAATCTTTCAACTGAATTAAGCAAAATGGCACATGAAAATGTGACACCTGGTGACTGATCCTGCTCCAGCACCAAAGCTGTACATCCCGAATTCAAACACAAACACCATGGTAGCAGTTGGCTTTAAATGCAGTTTTCAAATTATGTAGGTTTGTATTTGAAAGACCTATAGACGACATAGCACATAAAAAGGCCGGTCAGGCTCGTGTTCACGGTGTCTCCGCCAAGCCGACTGTTCTTGCATCCCTGGGTGCCTTGGACGCGAATGTCAGCATTGGCATTCCCGCAGGCATATGAGCTGGGCATTCGGATCAAAACAACATAAACCAATCAATGCAGCACTGAAGTATTGAGCAAACGAACCACACGCAACAGGCAATGACTTGCAAACCAAGATGCCCCGGTAATGTTGAATAAGTGCTGCTTCTAACATTGCGGGGCCCCATGGCTCATCAGTAATGTAGAGGACGATCATATTGGAATACTTTTCTACGGACTTGGCATATCCATAAAGGTCGTTGGACCATCTCCAAGCGGGGTTGTGGGTGAACCCCACTTTGAAGATAGCTGGGGCATGGGTATCTAGCAAATCATCCATGATCTTCAGACTGTGCTGAAGTACTTTCCCAGCCGTAGCATGCGCAGCTGGCAGCTGGAACTTGATGCAGTCCAGGGCTGAGACTTCTTGGACGATCCTTTGCAAGGATGGGCTGGATTGCAAAGGCATTGGTAAACCAATGGCCCACTTAGGTGGTGTGAACAACGGTTCCTTGGAAACCCGTTTGGTACCCAAGGCATCGCTCCAAGGAAAAGGGCAAAGAGATTCCTCAGTTGTAAGCAACAGAAGTATAGTGCCAAAAAACACACCGATATAGTTCACAACTCGGTCACATGTATACCTGTTCCCGTATCAAAGATGCGGCCAAAAGTCAGACCGGTGACAAGAAAGCAAATCAACTAACTCCTCTTCAATCGACTCATCATCCATGGCTCCGCTTTTTGGAAATGAGGGAAGCCTTTGCAAAAAATGCACTTTGAAACATGTTCGTATATAATGTCCATCTATATACCTGCACATTGAAAGCCATATATGCTCCCTGCTTGCCACAACTCCCTGTAACAGGTTGCTTTTGAGAACCATGCAGTTTGGGTTCGGTACACTCATAGGCCCATTGGCTGCATCCCATGCAGAAGTTGAAAAAAACCATCGGTGAAAAAGAGTTTGAATATATATACTACCGGCCATCACCTGAGGATGGCGCTCCTTCACCGATGTCACCGCTGATGATCTTCAAAGTTTTGCCAGAACCTGGCTCGGTGGCTCGGAGACAGGGTCATGTCTCAGGCAGGGGTTGTATGGAAGGGTGGAGTTCTATCTCAAATCAGGGTGTTGCTGACAAATCTGACAAGGTGTCACCCGCATGCACGCGCTCTCGATTTTCCACAAGCTTGTCGTTCAGAGATATCGTTTCCCCGAAGCATTGCCAACAAGTGCGGTGCTGTCACGCGTGTCCACCACCCCAGGCCCTATATATAGGAAAGCTGTCGTCAACTCATCAAAAAGCGACCACGACCACACTGAAGTGCAAAATAATGCCAAATGTATATACGCAACATATTTTTTCCTACAACGATCTGGGAGAACCCACACGCGTGTATAGACCTGAGAGACCTCACTTGGGCCTCGAACCTGTTGGCACTAGCCTGTTTAGTCCAGGCTTCCCAGTAATTAGAAAAGAAATTACAGATCAAAAAAACCGCGGTTGATCTGTCCCGTCGAGGAGAAGCCCCAAGATTACTTAGACTTCCTAGGTCTCTTTTTGTTTGAGGCCTCACTAGCAGCATTTGCTTCAGAAGAAGGCTTTCCTGACCTCTTCTTAGAACCCTTGGAATCAGCACTGCGAGCATTGCCCTTCGTAGCAGGCGTAGCATCGTCCTTCTTCTCGTACCTCTTAGCATTCCTGCGCTGCACACAAGTGCGACGCATGCTGAGGAACACGCATCCAGTCCTTGTCTTCGTCTCCAGGGCGCAGGCATCAGCACACCTGAGAGAGATATCAGATAAGGGCATGTAAGGGCGATGTGGGTGGTGTATTTGCAAGATCGATGAGAGAGAATCAACTTGACTCTGCATAATTTATTTGCTTCATGATGTGAGGACCGGGCGTATAGGTGGCAGTATTCATGGCAGCAGTAGCATCTGCGACAAACCTAATTCCAAGATAGAACGTAAAAAGGGCAATCACGTTGTTTGAAGATATGCTGACAACAGTTGAAAGGCTCCTGAATCCCTTGACCATCCATGCGACGTGCGCATGATGTTACCAGGTCATGACAAGAAACGTTCCCCCAAATTTGTTGATCTCACCTTTAGCCATGACCTTGTTGCATTCGTCGTACTGATTGTCCAGCTTTTTCACATGCTGCTCCAGCTTCTCGACCTGCCTTGGATGTGGCACCGGGGAGGGTTACGTATTTCTTGCATGGAACAAGGAAACACTAAACTTTTTGTAGGGTGGCATTGTGCATATATAAGGATCAGACTGAACCATCAGAGGGCTCTTGGAATAGGAATCACGCAGCTCTCGGATGAGGGCCCTGAGTTTCCCTGACCTTTGGACCATGGAATCCAAGAACTTCCGAAGAGTTTTCTTTGTCTGCGCGGGGCAGGCATGTTACTGTAAGGGTTCAAACAGTTGCAACGACTTCAAACATATACTGTAGAACATTCCTGCCATAGATAGCCAATGATATAGCCATACAGTTCTTACGCCCCCACCTCTTCCTCTTGACGCGGCTTTGAGTCACCACCACCCGTGGCAACCGCCCTGCTTTTCATCTCCTCAATCCCATTGAAGGCACCATCGTCCAGCGTGGGGTGGTTAGAAGCCTTGCAAGTGGAGGCCAGGGGTTGGGCAAGCTTTGAATGATTCAGTGAGAGTATATATATATATATACATCATAAGACTGCACAGCCAATGGGTTCATCGCACTCCCTAAAAACAATTTGTGTGTCTTTCCATTAGCCTCCAATTTGCCAATCTTGCGACGATTCTCCTCCTGCTTTTCCTCCTCCGACCTTTGACCTGACTCTCTGATCACCACGTAGAACTCCTCCGAGCCGTCGTACATATTCTTCCTGCAAGTTGGAGAGTTTATATATATATATATATTATATATATACAGTTTTTTTGGGGGGAATCAATCAGCAACAATGGGACATAAACTACATATTTGCATGCGGGAACGGGGTATATGTGCGTACGAAGATGTCCATATCCCGTTCTCCTGATATGAGTAGCCCGCTTCTCTTCACATGCTTTCTTCGCGCCATTGATGCGAGCCCTGAGTTTGCCAGCGATCAGGAGACAGAGCCAAGGTTAAAGGCTTCATGTTGAGCGCAATGAGTGCAATGGATCAACAAAATAACATGACATAAACAAACCATGATATAAGGAAAGTGGCTGGGACCAACCCAGATCGTTTTTCATCTCGCTTTCGCTTGCCCACTGCTCTTCGATGGTGATCTTGATGCTCTTGCATCTCTTCAACACAATCTCCAGCTGCGCTATGAACTGTTCCTTCAAGGGTGGTGATCCAGACATAAAGTGTGTATGTGTTTGGGACAGAACATGTATGTATTTGATGTGCTGGCATCTGAAATCTTTGACATTCATGTGCATATGAAGTCAGAAGCCTTATTGAAGTTGCAATCCACGAGCAATTGCGCGGTTTCGCCCTGCGGGCGGCTCTTCCACTCAGCAATCACCCAATCAGGTGCATTCAAAGAAACTCTCTTCTTCTTGGGGGTGCAGAGTCGTCGCAGTTGGGCTTTTGCCGCCTCCCTCAGCAGCTCCTGGAACACAACTGATGTACGTCTTATGTATACAATATATTATATAATATGCACATTGGACCCTAGCTGTGCATCACTTAAAAACCACCAATTAAATAGGCAAGATTGAGACATACTACACCGAGTGAGTCAAAGGTTCAAACGCGAATATATACACGCACGCACGCAGGTGCGAAAGAAGATCCTTTCGTGTACGACGAGGTTGAGCAGGCGCATCTGATCCTAATGGAATGGAAGCTGCTGGAGCTGGACTGGCTGGCGGAGTGGAGTGCACAGTGGGTTGCGGACTGGCTGGATTCGAGGTCACCGGAGAAGCTGCAGCTTTTGGTGCACGACTTGGAGTAGGAATTGGCCTGACTTCTGGAACCTGCCAAGCAAACTTCTTTTCATGAGAGCATATGGCATAAAACTATAGAATCACGCAGTCAACGACATAGAACAAACTTACTCTGAAAGACACGTTCGTGTTGAGTCAACCAAATCAACATGTTGCCTCAAATTCCTCCCCAGCTGACTTGTTATCAGCCCCTTCCACTTGATTGCCCCTTTCCGATGCGAACGTCATGTTGAGCTCTTGGACCTGCGAAGCAGTTGCCTGCACGCGTGAAAGAACAAGCGGGAACATGTGCGCAATTCTTTTGACAAATCCATGGAAGTATGTGGACCATGCATCGCATCAAGAACAAGATCCCGGAATGATCCCTAAGTTGAACGAATGGAACAAGAGTCAGAGTGAATTGAAAAATATACAAAGATAAGTCAGTTGCACGGTTGTGCCCTCCAGGCCTCTATCGTCTCTGCTTCAGGCAGGCCAATTTGCGGGGCAGCCTGGATGCAAAACGGGCCATGTCAATTGATCGACGAGTATATATGTACACATCTCGATGTGACCGCCATCATATATATATAGTATATATATAGTTGAGAAAATATGCAACACATAAAAACATGCAGAAGAGAAACCTTTGGTAGAGCTGAAGTCTCCTCACTCATGTCAGCTTTCGCGGCGACTTCGCGGTTCTCAAGGTCCTGTCAGCAATGTTCCGCAAGCACCAAAACAAAGAATTGGTTTACGGAACACGGCTGGCAGTGACTGCACCAAACAATCGAGAAAGTAAACACGCATGGGTAATGTTTTTGGTTGATCCTGGATAAGTTGCAGCAGTTGTTCTTCTTGTTCTTCAGCTTGTTTGGCTTCTTCGGCTATGTAGTCTATCCCATCCCGCAAAGTGCTACAGCTCCACACCCTCGAAGTGGTGTCCACAGAGGCCCGAGTAGCCATCTTTGACCACAACAAAAAGAAACAATCTGTATGTCACTTGGGCCACAGCTATATATAAATATATAATATGGAACTGAGTTTCAAGGATATCAATATCATGCAGCGCTGTTTATATACAAGAAGCTGCCGATGCTGCTACGTGTGCAAAAGTCATATGAAACACATCTTTTCTGGCAACAAGGGAATGCGGTCATGCCATGATTGAAATCGCTCCAGATTTTGACTGTGGCGCCATCTAAAGTGCGTAGGAATCGCACTCGACATGCAATTGTCTTGCACGAGTCATCGATTCGGGCCTATAAAACCCGATCATGTCCAGCAAATCTGGAGCACCAGAACCCATCTTTTTTTTACGGGTTCCTACGGGTAAAAGACGGGTTCCCTACGGGTAAAAGATGGGTTCCAAAAACAGAGGTTCTGTCGGGATTTTGTGAAATACGGGTTCCCTACGGGTTAATGACGGGTTCACTACGGGTAAAAGACGGGTTCAACAGGAGAACCTCTCTTTTGTTCACCAAAGTCTTCTAAATTGTCGATTATCGGTTAAAATTCATGATAATTCCTCATTCGAATGTCAAAAACCATCGACCAAACCTCGATAAGTTCAATTATATAGCTTCGGCTTTCCTGGATTTGCTCCCGCCCCTGATTCGTCCAAATTACAGTCTTCCTTAAGGGAAAGGCTTGGGAATCAGGCACTTCCATTCATGAGGTATCTTCAAATGTTTGCACCTGCGGAGGTAATTGAACACCTCCTCAAGCCGAGCGAACTCCATGCCGCAGGTGTGCTCTTTCATGAGCTGAAAGGATTGGATGGCAGGCGGGACTGGATTTGACTGGGAAAGAGCTACCTGGCCACGATTGGTCTTGGTCAGGTCGTCGAACATGTCCACCAGCTTGAACCCAAATCGGACCGGATATTCCCTCGGTACACAATTCGAACAGAAATGGGAAAGTTGGTTTCCTGGAAAATCATGTTTATCTTGAAGACATGGGCGGAAACAAAGAGTCAACAAAAAACATATTGCATATATACATGAGTAGCTCTGTTTGTCGTAGACGCTTGGTACCTTTAAAGCGCTTGTTTCCCTCTGAGTCGACGTAGGTCTCGCAGGTCTTGAGGTTGGCATCCTGGTCTACGGTCTTCCGTACTAGTTTCCCCATGTCCAACTGTGAAATCCGAGAGCTGTTGCTGTAGGCATAGTGTGGCTTGGGTGTCAATGCATTGTAGTGGATCATGTACCATTTGCAGCGGGTCACCTCAGCCAATTTGTGGGGGTCCCATTTATTCAAGATTTGTAAATTAGAAGCTTTTGAATTGGGGTTGGACAGATGATACCAACAAGCAGCCATTCACGAAGCCTCAACTGGTGCACAGAACCCTTTACTGCAAAGACCAGGGGCAGCCGTGCGGGAACCATAGGCCGTGTATAAAGCTGCAATCATGGTTTGGAACGGGGGGAAGAATTCCAGGACGCTTCCTCGAGGCTGCTCCAATGCCCACGTGCCACCAAGTGCTGTGGTGACATATGCCAGGAAGACTGTCCTTGGTATTTTATATTTGTTCAATTCGATCCGAGACCCGAGAAACGATCGATCGAAGAAACAATTCTAGCGGCTCCGAAGATCTCAGGTTCCTTCAAGACTCCGGCTTGCTAGCATGTTTGAAGCTGATACAGAGTTGTACGCTTCATAGCCTAAAGATGTGCATGGGCTCCGTTTAGAAGTTCCCCGGTTGACCGGAGTGAAGCTACTGCACTTCAGCGCCAAAAACACCAGGAACCGCTTGGACATACAAAGCAAAGCGTGGAGGCACAACCTCGGCCAGCCACGGGATGGGTGGGCCGATGCTACCAAAAAGGTTCCAAGGTGCTTTAAGGTTGTAGGGCACCTTTTGTTTATATGTTGAATTCATAGTATAAATTGGGGTACTAATTGGGGTTCATGACTTCAGGGAAAGTCAGAGCATTATATATGTTTATATATATATATAGTGGCAGGATGCCACGCGCAAGTCACACATATATACAAATACAGCGGTCTGTGTGACAAGGACCCAAGAAGGCTGAATCCACAGGTTCCCAAAACCTTCTTTGTCGTGGTGTATATATTGAATGTCAGGGATGACCTATAATACAAATCTTCATTGATTGAACTCCACGCAGCCCCAACCCACTCATGTGCAGACACAGAACGCAAACCCTGAGGCAGAATTTACATCCATGCAATTGCTACCATATGGCTTTTGACGGGACTTCTTGGAATTGAACCGGTCTCCATAAAGGATATCAAAGCTGGCAGTGGAGCGTCCACTTGCACGCATGCAACGGGTTAGGTTCCCGCGACCTGCGAAGAACTCCAGCACTTCGTAGTCCTGAATTGCGTTGGTAGAGACACTTGGGGGCATCACCCAAGCCCAGGCCAAAAAATACCGTGGTGATATAGTCTGATATAGTGGCTTGAACAGGTAATATACCGGCCTAAATGCTTTCGACCCAGAACCAAGAAGATGCCACAATATAGTCATTGAAAAAGGTAGGCTCCACTTGTCTGGTATATATTGTAGCTGCCCTGGATCTCAGACCCTGAGACGCTGTCCTTTGAGTCGTTGAAGGTGGGCGTCCAAGCCACCAAAAGAATGCAAAGCGCCAGAACCTCATCAGAGCAGTCCGGACAAAGGAAAGTGTTGGGCTCAATCAGCGATCATTCCAAGCAGTGCTATGATCATGGCACTTGAAAAGTGGAGGTAGTCTTCCCCTTTATATCAATCGGTGTTTTAGCGAAACATATATAGTCACGTATCTCACGGGACAAACATGAGCCCGGAGTTGACAGTTTACTCTATATATGTATGCTTTGTGGGATCCTATAGAGCTTGGAGAGGGCAACATGAATTGAAGACCTTTTGTATCATCTTGTATCCAAAGGTATATAACTAAGACCCTGACCTTTGGGCATCCCAGTTGTTGCAATTGGAAGAACAGTTCATCCATCGGCTCTGAATCACGCGCGGGTTCCATGGAAGAAGCGAGCGATGAGTGGACGCTATCTAAGGACCCAGTTCAAGACCCTGTCTGCCAATGTACAGAACCCAGGCTGCAGTCGGCCAGTGTTATGGCACACTGTCACCATGGAAATCGAGCTACACTCGTGCCATGATAAACAATCCTTCTGCAGCAAATTTCTGAATCCTTTTATGAATCGTCATATATTTGCTCTCTATAGACTTCCAAGTTCCACTATATAGTCCACAAAGAAACACCATGCCTGCTTCAATTTGCACTTTATAGTTTAAAGAGGTTTGTATATTATGAAGAACAGCCGCAGTAATTATTTCAGCAAATCAAGCCAGAGAGACGTCCAGCACATCTTTTCTTTGAGCTGAACTTGGAACGAACTTTCCAAATGTTTCCCCGCAGGCTGGGCATCCACGGGCAAAGGAGTGGGCAAAGGCAAAGGCCTGGCCGGAGAAAGCATCACATGTGCAGGCAGCAAGTGTTGGGGTACTGTCCTGTCAGTTCAACATATCTTTGGAAAGAGACCTTCTCAAGTGTGTGTGTGTGTGCGCGGTACTTTTCTATATAAACATTTGCATGCTGGTTTGTTCACATCCAGGGGTCACTACTTATGAATGAATACCTTCATGAATATATATGTAAAGGACTTTGCCAACAAAGCGTTGCAAAAACACTTTGGTCATTTTTCCCGCTTGCTCGAGGGATGCACGACCAATGGTCAACTCGATTTTACCATATAGAGGGAGCCACGCACTTCAGCGCTGCCCACTCCGCACATACACTTGCCCACCTTTCCCCTATTCGACGCCAAGTTTCTCAAACGGACACGTTCATGTATAAGTCATTCATGTCAAATCTAACTATCCGTTGGCCCACAAAAATTGGCGTGTTTTCCGTATGCTTCACCAGGGGGTCTGGTGGACACACATATGTGAGCCCCACAATCGATCACTGGTTCGCATCCTTCAGATCACTCTGTGAAGTCAGAGCGATGCATCTATAAGCCCGCGCTACCCCGATTCCTGCAGGATTTTGAACGGAGAAACTCTCACTTAGCGACCGCTGGCATTATTGGCCATCAGCAAGATTGCCAGCATACCATTGTGCTTCAACTTCTGGAAGTTGATGCTGTCCTTCTCATAATCCTCTCCCTTCTCCAAGCCAAGGGCCTGAGCACAGGAGACAAGTCCTTGTGCGATAATGTACAGCGTCAGCCAGGCTTGTGATTGACATTGTTGTGAGCTACCCTCCCATTCTTGCCATTAAAGTACGCTCCTGCCACTGCATATCATCTATATAATATTTACGTAGAGTGCTCGGCAACATGATGAAACATGAACCGCCATGCGCACACTTGAGTGCATACATACATGCTTGCTGAGTGGCTGCAATCCATCCACACCTGACAGCGACTGCAACCTTCTGCGGATCATATCCGGGTGAGTTGGCGAAGGAGAAAAACAAGACATCCTTGCCGGTTTCGATCAAAGTGACTCCACATTGACCTTTCGTCCAATAGATGGTCATCCTGTGATATAGCAGGTCAGGCTCAAAAGAACGGACCTCCACCTTGAAACTCTGATTCTTGACATTGGTCATTGGATCAAATGGTTCTGCAAATTGTCTGAACTCAGCAACCAACTTTTCTGAATAGAGTTCATTGCTTTGTAGCGACTCGACAGTCATGCCCCCCGGGTTGGCCTTTCTCCCTCTACGGTTGCCTGCCTCGGCTTTGGGCTTGGGAGCAGGCTTGGCTTTGGCCTTACCGGGTTTGGCGGTCTTGGCCTTGCCGGGTTTGGCGGTCTTGCCCTTGCCGGGTTTGGCGGTCTTGGCCTTGGCGGGTTTGGCGGTCTTGCCCTTGCCGGGTTTGGCGGTCTTGGCCTTGGCGGTCTTGGCCTTGCTGGATTTGGCGGTCTTGGCATTGTCTCGAGTAGTAGTCTTCTCATGTGCCTCGAGATCCCGCTTGTTGCGTTTCTGCCTCTTCTGATCACGGGAACTGCCAGTTGGATGCGTCATCACACCCCAATCCTCCTCATACTCACCCCAATCACCATCATCCCATTCACCATCCCAATCACCATCCCATGAGGTTGCCGCCGGCTTTTGACTCTTGGCGCGCTTGGACTGGCTGCGGAGCAATTTTCTTTTGCGAGTAGTAGGCGAGTTTGTTTTTCTCTGCTTGCCATTTTTCTTTTTAGCCTGTCCCTTGCGGGCGGCCTTCTTGGTAGCTTTGAAATTCAACTGGTCATTTCGGGTCAGGATCGGTGCCTGTACCTTCCCCTCACCCTGTTCTTTGCCCGCATTCTGCTCAGTCTCCCCATCACCCGGTTGGTTGCCCGTCTGCTCAGTCTGCTCCACGACAGCGGGTGCCTAAGCTTAGCAGCTATAGGTTTGTGACGGACTGGTTCGTTTGTATGATATGGTAGCACTTTCCACACTCTTTCTAATATATAAAATTTAAATGTCATATATATATATATATAGCAAAAGAATGTTTGTGCACGGCTTGTTGCAACTAGTTCTCCATCAACTGCAGCGCTTGCAACAGGCGCTGCTGGATTCTCCGGACGAGACCCTTGGTACTGCTCTCGGAGCTTTTCAGTAGACACATGAGGTGATGCAGAACGAGGCAGTGTCTCTGGAGTTTCAAGAGTGGCAATGTCCACAGGCTGAGTTTCTTGATGGTCAGCGGCTGCTTTCGCAGAACCACCTGCCAGAGTTTTCATGTTTATCCGGGCCGAGAAAGCATTGAATAAACATCGATCTCGATAAATACAGATCCACTGCGCAAGTAAAGTGCACGGGTTCTCAAAGTGCCCCAAAACCCAACCCAGACATTGCCTGGATTCCCTGGACTGAGGTCTTGGGACTTCAGCAATCGCATGCGCTCGTTCAGCTGACGCTTCCGTTCCTGGATCCTGAGCTGCGTGGGGGAATCGAGAAGAACCTGGATGGCTATTATAGCGAGAGTGTTTTCACAATTAACGCCATGACCAAGTCTGTGCATTTGTATCATGTCTCTTCACACTGTTTGGCATGTTTCTGGGCGTTTGTGTTGCTTAGCCCAGCGCTCTTCCAATTTTTTCCGGGCTCTTTCCAGATCCAATTGTTTGATCTCTGTGGCCGTGAGTGCACCTGATTTCACATTTTGACCATGCACTCAGGCCCCCCCAAAAAAGAGCAGTGAACATTAAACAAGATTTGCAAACAGCTGTCAAGTCC